CGACTCCAAGTCTAGAACATTAACCTTTAATTGATGTATCTGCCTCTTGTTTCTTGATACACAGTCAGCTTCTCATGTTTACAGCCCCAAATTTTCCAAAAAATCACAAATGTATATTTTGAAAAAAGAAGTTAAGACCGTTCCATTGTATGTGTGCGCTAGTAATAAGTAATTTTAATTCGACCAATATGACCATTTGTGAGGTTGTGTCTTGGATGATGTTATTGTAGAGTTTCGGGCTTGCTTGGTTGGTTTGATTGGAATGGAAGATAGGATTCTTTTGGAGAAAAAAGAAAAAATATGGGGACTCTCATTTTTCAGCAGCATTGAGAAGAGTACATTTATTTAGAAGTGAAATGGGGACAGGTTGAGGAAGAGGACCCCAACTGATAGACGAACAGTGGATACCTTCCATTACTCGATTTCATCAACCAAATTCTAATCCATTCCTTCTTTTGCTTCCACCCTCCCTTTCTCTCAAAACAAAGTATGGCTGTTGGGTTTTGAATTATTGTGTCTTTCCCATTCTTATTATTTTATCTTTTAACTTCTAGTAGTCTATATAATACTTTATGTTCAAGTTTCTGTTCCTTTCAGATTTGGCAATTATTCTAGGTAAGCTATCAGTTTGATGTTGTATTTATGAGCGCTAAATTCATTACTTAATTAGTTGTGTATAAGTGAATTATACTAATTAATGGTCTTGGACTAGCTTTTGGAGGTCAGAAGTCTCCTAAAGGAAAAAACACATGATGTACTAAGCGCATCAAACCTCAACTTCTTCGAATATATTCTCAGTTTCATTGGCCTCTTTGTATGAGGCTAATTTGCATTTTGTTCTTCTTTCAGGATGCAGGAGGAAAGTGTCTCTCTCCTTGAAGGATGAATGATCAATTTGAAAGACAAAGTGAGGAACTCACATTCCAGTTTGCCAAATCAGAAAAAAACAACTTTTGAGGGTAGGACATATTAAGCTGCGGATGAACAATATTTTTCATTTCATTATGTAAAAGAAGAGTCAACCTGCAAGCTTTGGACTTTCTCAAACTGAATGCAAGGGTGAGTGTGGACCAAGTCGTTAACGAGATGGCTTTTTAACCTAGAGGTGGACGATCCACAAAAGTTGAATTGTAAAATCTGCAAGACCAGGAAAAAGTGCTTAAAAATTACATGGTATACATTAAAAAAAAAAAATTCATATACAATATTACAATGCAAGGATGAATTTTAATTAAAAAAAAGTATAAAAATTAAAAATCGTTTATTTGTATATTTAGTATTTCTTTAATTAAGATAATTTTTATGAATAACTTCGAGATAAAATTACAATCAAAAACATAAATAATCGGTGGATAGCATTTAATGATAATTAATAATATTTTTAGAGAAAATAGTTAAGTAAATTTTAAGATTAAAGGGTAATGAGATTTGTAGCATGGTCTCCAAGAGTAAATAATGGATGAGAAAATAATTTTAATACATCAAAAAGTAATATTGAAATTTTTAAAACATCAAAAAAAGATAAATCCCGTAAAATTGTAAGATTTGATAATAAAATCATTGATTATTATTAAAATAGATTTTTAATCCGTTTCTAGTTAATTCAGAGTTTATATACATCTTTAAACTCATTAGTGTGCTCTAGTAACTCGTTAAATCTAAAAAAAAAGCACAGGAGATTAACGCGCTTTGTTTAACAAGCAATGGTTTCGGACAACGTGTTTTGCCATTGTCGTGATGGGTCAGATCTGGCTTGGATGATGACCCATTGCTGAAATCGTCAACTGGGAATGAGAATAGAAATAGCGCCTACTGAATTCAGAAGGAACTGCCTTGATAAGTGTAGCATTCGAGAAAAAAAAGCCTCTTAAGCTGTCTTCAAAAATCATAGCATTACAGATGATTGGAAGGAAACAGAGAAGGGCGAGAGAGATAAAAGAACATTGCTGCGATTCCCTAAAAAATTTGCAAAAACCAAGTTAGAACACAAAACAATTCTGTTCTCCAGGACGGTGTAGGAGCGGGAGGCTGCACCATTAAAAAGAAAATGGAGCACGGTCCTGCTTTACCACGGGAAGCCTTGGTTACTCGGATGATGATTGATGGGACTTCGTTCGGTCTCAAGATTATGCAGAACCTGAGTAATTGATGAGTATAACGCTATCCTGTCAAGACATTCCATTATCGAATCTTCACACATTACCGTTTTTTAAGTAGCATTAAAAAATGCCAAGTAATATATAACGGTATAAATTTGTAGCTAAAAATGGTCCCTTCCAAATTAAGAGCGGTCTAAAACATTGCTTGATCTTGAATTCAAAGATAATATGGATCCTCAGGATCTTAAAAGCCTTTGAGGAGAAAGAAAATCTGTTAAAAATAAGTGTATTTAGATCTGCAGGAAAAAAGTTAAGAAATTTGATCTTTAAGTGGGGATAAAGAAAGAAAAAAATGCTAAAATATTGATAGATGACTTTCCCTTTTAGGACATCATGTATCTCATAGATTACTGTAGAACGGTTTAAAATTTATTTCTTTCCTTATAGAACCAATACAGCAGATTATTACGAGCAAACAAACACAAATCAGTTTGTACATTGAGCAGTTGTCTGAGAGGTATCCCAGTAGAATTGGCAAATATGAATGGGAATCTTTCTTTTTTTAAATTATTACTTATAATGTTAAGGCCCATTTCATATTTCTTTCTGCTTAATATATTGTGGTTACATTTCTCATTTCATGTTAAATGTAGTACTCATAGTATGTGTTTCCTGAACTGCAAAAATGATTAGGGCTGCATTTTATGTCCAACAGCATTACTTAGCAGAAAAACAAAAGCTGATGGATCTGAAAGGAGATGTGCTGGAAGCCGTGGAATTAAGTGAAAAAAGACGTAAGAAATTAGAAGAAACTGAAAGAAGGGTTCAACCAAAAGCGTTCAAGAATTTCTATGAAGCAGGTAGTAATCATTGTGGAAAAGCGTAAATATTAGGATATACCTTTGATTCCAAATTTCAAGTGTTTTATTTTGCACATTAAAACCAAACCCAACCGTCCATAGTTCATCTGGGTATCTGCAGTAATACATACATGAATCGATGACAGTTTGTAAAAAATCTCATGTTTAACTAAATACCTAGACTTGATTAGTGTTGGCTCCAGGGATGTTAAATTCCATGGCAGACCAATTTTCGAAGCTGAGAGATGATCTTGCCAAACTTCATCAAATTCAACGTTTCAAAGCTTCAGAGGATCCATTGCTAAAATGGTCCGTGTTGATGTTTGGCTTCGATACCTCTGACAATGGAATGCAGACTTCTCTTTTCAACATCCCACGTTTCATCTTCACCCTCAAGATGAATTCTCGCCCCCGATATTCTAACTTTCCAGTTGATAGTTCAAGGATCTTTCACAAAACAGAAATTCAGTTAGTCGTTTCTCAATGTGTAAACCTGTATTTATCGAGTTAATAATCTGTAACTAAAAAACATGCTAGGAACTTCTGTCTCTATATATCTATCGAATGATACTTGGAGTTCGCATGATTCAGCAATGTCATTCTATGTAACAATCTTGCTTTACCTCCATAGATAAGAAAATGTGATACAATTCAAAGTGTTTTCAGTTTGTGCCAAAACAGAGTTGCCGATGTTGATAGAGTGTTATATCCTCTCTTTGGTGGTTGCATTTATGGCAGTTTCTGGGAATCGAAAGGTGATAAAATAGGGGGCATTGTGATGAGTCTTGCTGATGTAACCTATTGTTGTCTTCCTTCTAGCTTAGATGTTAACCACGGGAGACGGGCTTCGGCAAATAGAAGTAGGCACCAAAAAAAGGTATTCTCCAAGGATTAATCTAGATCGGATTAGTCTGGGGTAATCCTGGGGAAAAGGTAAAATTCGAAAAAAAGAATTTAATTCTAGGCAACTGTATAATCATTGCATGTTCACTAAGCAATCTAGTGTAATCTTAACAAGCGCTGGAAATGCGAGGACTATTGAGTATCATACGGGTCTCTCAGTAATTATTCTTTTTTTTTTTTTTTTCTTTTGCGCACATATCTGGCTCAACTTACATGTAAGAAATGCAAAGAGATTTGCATCCTCTTTGTATCCTTTTTTTTTTTTTTTTTCTTTTTCCTACATATTCTGCTCAACTACAAAAATGCAAAGAGGATTTGCATCCTTTTGTATCCTCTCTTATTCCGTTTAGGTACTTAGATAAAAGTGAATACTCAATCACTAAATTACTAATCCGATCATTTTTTTAGAAATAATTCTTTTATGTGAAATGCAATTTAACACTCAAGTGCTTAAATATCCTCACGTGAAGCAATATAGAATCTGATAAAAGGGGTAAATTACATGTGATTTCTTTGACCAAGAGGTCACTTAAATAGCTTAAAATTGGCTTGTAAGGTGAACAATACATGATCTCATGTAACTATATTAGGTTTAGTATACCAATCCCACCTTTCTACTCAACTTCATTTTGAATTTTTACGGTTTCCCTGTATCTAATTAATTTGCGATTGATAAGGAATGATTATAAGAAAAAAAAAAATTGATTGTGGGTTTCCTCCTTTTTGTATGGTTTCTTGGTGCTGAAAACATGCTTTCAAAATTCAAATCCAAGCTTTCACTCCCATCTTTCAATTTTACTGAGCCATTCTTTAGAGTTAGTGGGCTTTTTCTTGCCCATGTGTTCAGAGGCGGACTCCTGACCAACCCTACACAGGTTAACCTCTTCCTTTCTTGTTAAACAAATTAAAACCCACCTCAATTTAATTATATAAAAATTAATACAATAGATCTTTGCAATTATAACCCATTTCATATTAATCAGAGCAGTCCTTTCATTTTAAAAATTTGCAGATAATAACAATAATAATAATTTGTAATATTACTTATGTCTCCTACTTATTGGTAAGTGAACCTTTTTCTGTAATGGTATATATGTTATTTATTGTCTATCATGGGATTAGATCCTATCAACAACAAGACATCCTTGGCATACACATTGACATAACCTTAGTTCTCTTTGTCTTGAAAAGTTACTTGACATGTAAACGTTAAATGCTACAAGCTAACACATCCATTAGATCTCCCCTACATTTGGCAAAAAGGAACAACACTCTCAAACTAAGTTTCTATATTACATTGGCTAAGCAATATCCATTTATAGTACCCGCACTGCCGCACATTTGCAGGTGAGTAAACACTTGATGATATTTTCACTTTCTATACCCTTCTTCTTTCATCGCTCATCTTTTCCATCAACCAAATCCATTTCAACCCCTTCTTTCTTTGTTTTTTCATCTTTTTAGGTTTTCTTGAACCCAAATTGTGAAGTGTTATTAGCTATGGAGAGAACTTGCTTGGGCAGTGAAGATGACAATTCTTCCTCAAGTGGGTTTTTATGGCCTCAAAGAAACTACACTTGTAGTTTTTGCAAAAGACAATTCAACTCAGCTCAAGCTCTTGGTGGTCATATGAATGTTCATAGAAGAGACAGAGCTATGTTGATACAATTACCTTCATGGGTTTTTGACTGTCCAAACCCTAACCCTAATTTTCCTTCTTCAGCATCTTTGTCTTCTTCAACAGCAACTTCATCTCCTTCACATAATAATGATAATAATAACAAAAAAATGTTGCCTTACCCTTATTATTATAACAACTCTTCGCCTTTCGGTACTACTTCTTTCACTTTACCATCAAATAACCAGCAAAAGAAATCAAATCTTGAATTTCCTCAAAGCGAAGATTTAGCGAAGAAGAGGATGAAGAAAAGCATGAGAGCTGCCGTTGTAGAAGTTGAAGAATTCAACAAGAGTAATTTGTCCAGGAAATATGAGAGAATTGAGGTTTTGAAGAACAATGAAGTTATAAGCTTGGAGCTGGAGATAGGGTGCAAAGATCCAAAGGAGGTTTTGGATTTGGAGCTACGACTTGGTTGTTTTTAGTAGTTCATCTTTGGTTTTTGGATTTTAATATAATTAATTAGCTTCTTCTTCTTCTTGCATTGCATTTCTTTATTAGAAGTTAATTAATTAATATTTGATTGTGGGGTTATCAAAGATCAAACTGAAGGCTAATTGATGTTAATTTGCAGAGAGTCTCACAAATTAATGAAGATCAGTCACTACTCAAAGAGCTCAGTACCCTTCAATTAATTAATTAGTTAATTTTGTCTTATCTTATGTAATTTAATTTGATTTTGTCTGTATATTAATCTACAATATGCTTTAATCCTGTTTAGGGATGGTTTTAATATCAGTTTAATTAGTCTTTAATTGTCGATTTTTAACTCTAATTGCTATGATTAGTTTTTGGGTGGCTTGGTCCTTGTTAGATTAGGTTAACTGTAACATTAGTTGAAGATGCAAGTTGTTGAGATATCATCATTAAAAATTTAAAATTTTTCTACATTTTTTTTTTTTCTGTTGAGATGGCATGCAAGAACTCTACGTGGCACTAATTAGGATTATTTATAGTATATTTAGTTGAATTTCTCCCTAGGCAATTAATTACTACAACCAATTTAGTTATTTTTTCTTTTAAATGTACACTTTCATTCAAAAAGTTTATTATATCTAGCCCTTGTGCTTTTCTTTGTCCACCTGTGGCTTTTCTACAAAAAAAAAAAAAAAAAAAAAAAAAAAAAAACAATCCCATAATTTCCTGATTTTTCTTGAAACTTTCACATCATTAAATGAATTACCTTATAAACTATATGGAATTGAAAATGCTATATTATCCAAAAATGTATTTCTAAAGCTAAATATAATTTTTATTGTGAAATCCAAATGTGAGACACATGATTTGTTATAAAAATTTAAATCATGTAGACTTAATAATTACAAAAAAAAAAAAAAAAAAAAAGAACAAAAATCATAAAACAAAAAAAAAAAAAAAAAAGGAACAAAAATCATAAAACTATGTATAGAGATCTTAGTGCATAAATTCCATTCTACTACTTAATTGCTAGCTACTTCAAAATTTAAAAATGGAAAAGAAATGAAATAAGTTGATTTAGAATATATTATTTTTCATTATAATAGTTTTATCAATTTAGTTGATGTAATGAAAATTTATTATTATCTTCCGAATACCTATTAAAAAGAAATAAAAATCTTTTAGTTTAACAAAAGTAAATTTCTACTTCAAAATTAAAAGTGAAAAAATCAAACTAATGGGATAATAGTAAATATGTAATCAAAGAACTGGGAGAGAAGATGAAAGTATATGAATTGATGCCAACCCAGCAGATGAAATTACCAAAAAGAGTTGGGAAGGGGAGAGAACATTTAACTTTTTTTTAATGTACTAAAACTTGTACTATCCATTGTCTTGTCCAAGAAATGAAGAATGGTGTTTTGGTATGTGTTTAGGGATACTGGGTTTTCCAACACATCTGAGCTTTTGCATGTTCCCCACATTTGTCTGGTGTCAGTAACATCATGACCTTTCCTTAACTAGAAACCCTTTTGTCTGTTTTTTACATCCCAAAACAAGATAACTTTTAATTCCATCAATCTCTCTCTCTTCAATTTTTAGGAGCTGTGAGTGTGAGGGAGATGAAATTGAAAACTAGTGGACTGTGAAAAAGAGAAAGTGAGCCTTTTAAATTTCAACTGTAGAATGAAGTCACTATGAGTGAAAAATTTAGGGTAAAAAGAATTGACATTGGAGCTCTGGACAGAACCTTACCAAAGTTGACATTTTAGTGAAAGAAAGGAGAGAGAGAGAGAGAGAGAAAGAATGGGATAAAAGGCATTCCTCAGCTTCCTTCAGGCATTCATTAATCATTGCTTCTCATTAAATATTTTCTTCATTTATCAATATGTTTTTGTCAATTTTTGATTTGTGTGTTATTTATTAAAATTTTTTTAAAGAAACAAGAAATTGTATTAATAAGCGTTAAATTATTTTCAATTATTTTTTGAAAGTTGCAGGAATTAAAATTTCAATTTTTTTAATAAGCGATTAAATTCATAATTTTACTATTCATAAAATTATTTTCCCAGCTTATTATTCTCTCAGACATCCAAACAGAAAAGAAACAAATTCTTTTATATACTTTTTCCCTTCGTTTCCTTCCATTTTGTGAGGCTTGAGAGTGTTAATGTTTTAATAAGGATATGGACACATGGGCCCAAAATTCTCTACATGGCCCATGTATATTATTAGAGCCCTAAAAACTGCAATTTTATCATATAGTCCATCTCCATTTTTCCATTACTCTTTTCCTCCTTTTCTCAGACAATTGGGTAAAAAAAAAAAATTCTAATTTGTATGAACTTCAAAGGATTGACTAGAAAAAGAACAAGCCATTCTGCAATTCAGTTCTTGCATCAAAAACTAATTCTTTATTGGGCTCTTATTCCTTGAATTGACCGGCCTAGCTAGCCTGCCGTCTTCTTTCCTACATTTCATGAATGCTTATGTAAAAAATATATATGTAGATAATACTCTTCACTTTCTCCATTTTTAGCCAAAAATAATAATAATTAAAGCACTAAATTGCTAATTATCTCTTTAATTAATTAGTAGCCCTAATACAACTCATTGGAAGAAAAGTTAAATCCTTTTCACCTACACCTCAAATAATTATAATTAACAAAATTAACCAATAATTAAGCTAAACCACGATTGATTTGGTAAAGAATTAAAATTAGTTGTAATATTTAATAATGTAATAGTACTCACGTAGTTGTCGTCCTTTGATGTTTCTATCTTCCCATCTCTTCCTCTTGAATTTTTCTGATAGACTTGGTCAAGTAGTATATCAAATTATGCATATTAAAAATTTTGCCCTAACCCTAATTTTGTTTCTCGTACTATTTTTTATTGTTTTTTTTTTTTAAATTAATACTAAGATTATGCATTCGAGACAAAATTCTACGATCAGAAAAAATAATCTTAGGGCTCAAATGATTTATATGTAATGTCCCGTTGTGATATTCTGAACCACTATCCTCCCCTTTGTCTCCCCCAATAGGAAATTCAATATTAAAAATTAATTATGAGATAACTTTTTATGACAAAAATATAAATTATCTTTTTAATCATTTTCAATATGGACGTAAAGCTATGAGGGTAATATGTTGAGGCAATATGAGTAGGATGTTTTGTCAATGTTGCACTTGAAATGACATTTTCTTTAAGACAATTGGACATTATGTTTTTTTATATATATATAAATTTAATCTAAAATTAAATTAAAATCGAGTTTTTTTTTTTTTTTTTTGATGGACATTATGGTTTTTTATTATATATATAAATTTAATCTAAAAATTAAATTAAAATCGAGTTTTTTTTTTTTTTTTTTTTTTTTTTTTGAAAATGGAAATTGAGATCAATGTTGTCCCAAAAAAATTCATGTTTATTACATGAATTGATGTCTCAAAATTTGATTAATGATTATATATATTTTTAGAAAACAAAATAGCTGGTCTTCACTTCTTCATTCTAAATATAAATCATTATTTAGTACTAAAAAAATATTAGTAAGCAAGCACGTTTAAATTTGTGTAAATCATTGCAAAATAGGCATTTGATCACAAATTATAACTCTGTAGTATCCCAATTTCATATTTGTCCGTTTTAAAAGTCTCGATTACAAATTTATATAATATAATATATATATATATACATATATAGTATATATATATATTATATATATATATATATTTGCTTTCAGATGTTGCCGTTTTCCACGTAAAAACTTCATTTTCACACGGAAAAAATAAATGGAGAAAGAAATTTGATAATGGCGAAAATGGTATGCTAATAAACAAATTTTGGCCTGCATTATTCTGGTGTGTGTGAGTGTGAGTGTGAGTGTGAGCTGTATCACACGGAAAAAATAAATGGAGAAAGAAAGATTATCATAATTCTATCTACCAATATAATTTAGATAAATAAAGTGCAGCCGATGATTGTATATATGATTAAAAAAAATTAATTTTGGATCAAATTTAATTTCAATTTTTTTTTTGAAACAGCTTAGACAAATAATATTAATGTGATGTTGATTGTGATGACATAAAGTTGATACGTTTTCCATTAGTTTTTATTTAAAAAGCTGATTTTTTTCATTATTCTTAATATTTATTTTTGATTTGAGTTGGAAATGGAGATGGTTACAGGCTGATACCTAAAGACAAACAAAAACTACAAAAAAAGCTAACTGTTGCTTATTCACCATTATATTATGTAGGAAGGTTCCTGCATCTTTCCTCCTGAATAATGTGATGAAGCAAGCTCTAATTATAACATTCCATTTAATGATTATATTCAAGATATTCTGTCTCAAAATATAAACCGTTTTAGATGATAATTTTATTTCAAAATATAAATCGTTTTAAATATTTTAAAGAATTTTTTTTTAATTTTACTATTATTTATATTAAATATAATACAATATATGATGTGAGATAGGAGTATAATGATATGAGATAAATAATAATTTGGTGAATTACTCTTAATTTTATTAAAATTTAGGAGAATTAATTATTTTTTTAATCCCGTGAAAAATCTTAAACGATTTATATTTTGAAGCAGAGAAAAATAATTTTTAAAACATAGCTTAGTAAAAAACACTTATACCTTAATTGGTTTCACTAATGGCTTAATTGGAGGGATGCAATTAATTAATTAATTAATTCTTTAAACTTCTCCTTGTCTTTTCTCACTTTTATTTATTTGGTTAGTTAACAAACTTTGGAATTTTTGAAAGGAATTAACCTAGCTACTTAATTTTGCAATGATCAAAAAGGCCCTTTGTGCTTTGTTTACAGTAATATTTCCTTTGATTTTTTTTTTTCTACGAGTATATTTACATCTTTTTCATGGGATTAATCTCAATCCTAGTTTGCGATTGTCCTTCCCTATAAATATACTTTCAATATTTGAAAACTTTGATTCCGTAGAAATCATCTACGAGCTCAACTATATCTTACCATTTAAACCATTGCTTGAAAGTAATTTGACTTCAGATTTTAAATATTTGAAAACTTTGATTCCGTAGAAATCATCTACGAGCTCAACTATATCTTACCATTTAAACCATTGCTTGAAAGTAATTTGACTTCAGATTTTAAATATTTGAAAACTTTGATTCCGTAGAAATCATCTACGAGCTCAACTATATCTTACCATTTAAACCATTGCTTGAAAGTAATTTGACTTCAGATTTTAAATATTTGAAAACTTTGATTCCGTAGAAATCATCTACGAGCTCAACTATATCTTACCATTTAAACCATTGCTTGAAAGTAATTTGACTTCAGATTTTAAATATTTGAAAACTTTGATTCCGTAGAAATCATCTACGAGCTCAACTATATCTTACCATTTAAACCATTGCTTGAAAGTAATTTGACTTCAGATTTTAAATATTTGAAAACTTTGATTCCGTAGAAATCATCTACGAGCTCAACTATATCTTACCATTTAAACCATTGCTTGAAAGTAATTTGACTTCAGATTTTAAATCTATATGTGCTAAAAGATAATAAATTTTCAAGTGTGCATAGAAATATTAACTATACTTCCATATAAATATGACAAAATGAATTAAGACATCCTGTTACGAAAGTTACACTATGGATGAAAGCTACAAGAGCACTATTAACTAATAGTAGTATGCGTACGAAGAGATTAGAGATACATATTCAATAAGAAATAAATTGTTTAATTGTTTCATTAAAAAAGGAAAAGAAGAATAATCATCTGCAAATTATGTTTGGATTCTCCAATAGCCGGCTAATTCCCAAACAAAAAAAATCTAAAGACTTTTCTTCCTTTCCTCTATTTCTTTCTTTCTCTTTCTTTCTTTCTTTCTTTTTTCACTTGAACTTAGCGATAAATGCCTATAATAACTCCATCTTTTGTCTCTAAATTAACTCCAATCAATACTTGCTTAATCAACAAGCATTAGTACAAAACCCCACTATTTCTTGTGAGAGTTACCGTGAAGCTTTGTCCTTTTTTTTTTCTTTTTCTTTGCTTAGCTAAAATGGAATCAAACCTTCATGAACACTCAAAAACCTCGAGCTGTGAAGAAGAAACAGATCAATCCAACGAAGTACGCACCGGACGGTCTTATGAGTGTGTTTTTTGCAAAAGAGGGTTCACTACTGCACAAGCTTTAGGGGGACATATGAATATCCATAGAAAAGATAGAACAAATAATAGTAGTAAGTCAAATATTAGGTCTTCTCCGGCGAAACATATTGATGGTGGTTATAGTTATGCAAGTTTAAGTGGCGACTCTGCAATTCAAAGCTACACACCAGCTCAGCATCAAGAGGTACTTATAAATTATCAAGCATTTTTTCCTGCAACATCTCATGATAATAATAGTTGGGGTTTTAGATCCCAACATGCACAGGATACTGATGATTTATATGTGCAAAGTCCCCAGCTTTTGAATCATTTTCAAGATGATTGGATGAGAAATTTGAGTTTGCAAATTGGTCCATCAAATTTAGATTTGGATGATAATAAAGAAAAAAATGAAGAAGATGATGATGAGTTAGATTTGGAGCTGAGACTTGGTCATCATGATCCTTAATTGATCAGATTCAACTAATTATTATTCTATTTGGGTATATGTTGAGGAACTTAATTAATTGCATCTCTAGCTATGTAGATGTATCTAGTATATTACTGTTATTGTACAGCTGAAATTTGTTTTTCTTTTTCTTTTTGATGCTTCAAAAATGGGGAAAATGGCATGGAGAAAGTTTGTGTTGTGGTGCTTTGTTTAATTTGATTTAATAATATATATATATATATATTGGGAATATCTTTTCGGGGGGTAAATCTACTGGGAAGAAGACATGGAGTAGGTTTTGAAGTGGAAATTAAAAAGGCAAGAATTCCCAGTTGCAGATTTTGAAGGTAGTTTTGAAGATTTGTACTCCTGTTCATTATATATAACCCTAGATTTCTTTTAGGGTTCTATAATTTGAGTCTTTAATATATATAAATATAAATCTTTTTGTATTTCTCGTCAACTTAAGCCGTGATTCTGCTAAATTGTATTGATTTTTGCAAAGATTTTCCCATCATTTGCATGCTTGTAGAGGTTGAAATTTTGTTGATTAATTCATAAATCTCCTCCTGCAAAGCTTAGTTAAGAAAACCTAATTGCTTGATAAAAAGGTGGAAGAATACTGGAAATTCAGAAAGTTAATTAAACCCACTTATTATTAATCAAATTAATATCTTTTTTTCAGTTCTTACACCCCATAATTAATCTTGTCGAAGCTTTTCTACATATGCAAACGTGAAAGTCTTAGGCTGATATATGGCTGATTAAAAACCTGGAAGAAAGTGTTTGTACATAGACAGAGAAAGAGAGACTTTGATGCTTCTTTATTAATTTCAGTGTTTATGCATAATATGCTTAGAGCTTCATGCATCACGTTGCTCTGGCTGGAAGCACATCAAACATGAAATCACTAAAGCATTTACAGTATTATATTTATTGAATTAATCTTTAAGTTTATTTTTATGGTATGTTTTTTTAATCTTTTATATATATATATATATATATATTCAGATTTTATTTTCATATAACCTTAAATGGGAATTACGAGAGTCTAATCATGCATTTTCATATAAAGTATGGTTTATTCGAGTAAAATAATATCATTTCATCTTAATTTCTTAAAACCACTTCTTTTATGAACTACACGTATAATCTCAGATGAAACGATAAAGTTACCAATTTTGTATTGAATTTGAAACTTCTTTTTACAAATTACATTTAAGATTTTTTTTTTAAATTATTTTTAAAGATCTACCAATGAAAACTGAATATATATAAAATTAAATAATTAATTAAATATAAGAAAATTTTGGTTATGATAGCTTTGTTCCATGTCTAGTATTTAGGAGAGGAATTTTGTCCTCCTTAATCTATTTGTATTGATTTGAATATAATTATTACAATACCAATATACTTATTTTTAAAAGAAACCATGATATAAGAAAACATTATTGTGGTTTTACATTTTAGTATTACTTAATTAAGCAGACTAGAGTTTGTTAGAAAGAAATTATAATGAAAACTGATGATAAAATCTTTAAATATTTATAAGAAAATCTCAATTTTGGATTTAATCAGACTTCCTGCAAAATAAGTGCATTTTCACAATATATAAAAAGTTAATTCAAATTTACATTTCAAATGAAAAGTTATAAAAAAACTAAAACGCTTATCCTACATTTGGTAAGCCCAGTTACATTTCATTACGACTCACTAAATCTAATCTTAGACAAGGTGGAAGCTATTAATTACAGAATAAACAACAATGTCTATATATAACGCTTAATCCTACATTTGGGTAGCCCAGTTTACATTTCAATATGACTCACTAAAATCTAATCTTAGACAAGGCTGGAAGCTATTAATTACAGAATAAAACAACAATGGTCTATATTATATATATATATATATATATATAGGTTATATATATATATATATATATATAGGTTTTTTTTTAACCTCTTTTTTCATATTGTTTATCAATAACTGATGAAAGCTCATATATTACAGTGATAGAAATGGAAGACTGAAACTCGAAGTTCATTTCCTCTCTCTTTTACATATTTAGATACGGAGAAAATAATTAAATTAGATACGATTGGCAGTCCATTTAATAATATTCTAATATGTGAAATTGAAAAGGAATAGAAAGAACACTCATAAATACATCAACGGTAATGGCTTCGTACTGTAAGAACGTTAGGTGAATCCCCTTCTACTGGAATTTTGCCAAGAGAAAAGAAATATATTGCATAAGCTGGAACTGGTCTTCAAGATGCAAGAAGCAACTAACAAAATTTTGTCAGGCCTAGATAGGGGAATATGACTCTTTCAGCTTGGAATAACTGCAAAGTATATATATTACCCATTTTACGTGGAGGTTTGCATAGCTGCAATGAACTAGAAGAATAATAATTGAGTAAGGGTATAGAAATTTCTGGGAAGGTAGACCCAAAACTTGCTCTAAATGAGAACATAGGGTGCCTTGGAATTGCATAGACAAATATTATATTTTACGGGTCATGGGGAAACAGTATTTTGTACCTTTTGGCTTTTCTTTGAATATAATTTTAATTTTAATGTATATAAATAAGAAGGTAGATAAAAAAATCAAACCGCAGGTCATTAGAAGAAAGAAGCAATTAACTACCCAAAAAGCACCGGTGTTCTAGTGGTACAGTGGTACCCTGCCACGGAACAGACCTGGGTTTGGTTCGCAGCTGATGGTATATCCTTTTTTTTTTTTTTCTCTCCCGTCACAGTGACTGAACCTTGACCAACAAGAATTAGCCAACTTGGATTGATGGTGACGCCCTCAGAAAACTACGAAAACCAAATAGATATAGCCGACCTTTTATAATATTGCTTTTTAACAATCAGATAGCAGAGGAGGAATGTGAAAACGACTGAACTAATAATGGATTTGTTTGAAGCAGACCATGGTTGTTACAGATTTAGTGGTGCAATGTCCTCAAGTTCTTCCACCTGGCCCCACAACCTTTATATAAAAATACTATTTTGTTTCTTTCTTTGTGTTTCTTTTCATAATAAAATAAAGTATTTCATGTTGATTTCGACCTTGCCATATATTTTCCCTGGGTGAATGACCACTTCTCAAAACCAAGACCTCAAAAGTGGTGGGATGAATACTTATTTTCATTTTAATAGAATTAGGAATAGGAGGTATCCTTCAGAATATTTCGTGTAAATTAATTTACACTTTAGGCTAAAGAACGTAAAGAATATATATATATATTAGGGCTACAAGAACGTAAAGGAATATATAATATATATATATATATATATATAATATATATATATATTTTTTTTTTTTTTTTTTTTTTTTTTTTTTTTTTTTTTCACTTTCACTCAACAAGTATGTTTCCCTCTTACAAGCTCTATAGATTAATTTAAATTATACTTTTTCTATCTGAAAGTGCACTTTCCCATATAATATAGTGTTATTTACCGTTACAACCAAAACGATTGTTGATACGTAAGTACTACATTTTATCAATAATTAATTATTAATTGCATTTCTTTAAGCCGTCGGAACCTCTTTTATGGTGCTCACCGTTTTGCTCATTTGATAGGTAAGCATTTGCCAGTTAATGGCCCGGGCCTAAGCCCGGAGGTGTGTTGTACGTGTGGAAATTTCTTGGGGTCAACAAACACATAAAGGAATCCGAAAGAAAGAGAAGGGAGAAAATCGTTTAGTATTAATAGGACTTTGCATATTAACAATATCAAGTCCGAAAAACTTTTAACTGTAGTAAAATGGTTGAAGCTACTAAGATCATCTCAGCAAAGCTTCGACTAGGCTCTGCTGTGGGGAAAATTTCTTGGGGTCAAGAAACACGAAAAGAAACTTTTCCAAAAGAAAAAAAAAAAAAAAAAAAACTTTTCGCAAAAGAAAAAAAAAAAAAAAAAAGAGGGGGAATCTGTTAGTATTCAATACTTAGTAAGCCTTTTGCAATATTACATTTCCAAAGACCGAAAAAACGCTTAACTCGCAGTAAAATGGTTGAAGCCCTAAGATCAGTCTCAGCAAAATCTCTTTGCTGCCTGAGTGGCTGGCTTAAGGAAAATTATGCAGGCCAACACGATAGTGGCTAATTGAAGTAAAAAACAGAAGCAGCAAAAAATTTCACCAACCAATTCAAGCATTTCAACAAGCGTTTTCCCATAAAAAAAAAAAAAAAAAAAAAAAGAGGGGGATAATCTGTTAGTATTAATACTTAGTAAGCCTTTGCATATTAACAATTTCAAGACCGAAAAACGTTAACCGCAGTAAAATGGTTGAAGCCACTAAGATCATCTCAGCAAAATCTCTGCTGCTGAGTGGCTGGCTAAGAAATTATGCAGCCAACCGATAGTGGCAATTGAAGTAAAAACAGAAGCAGCAAAAATTTCACACCAATTCCAAGCATTCAACAAGCGTTTTCATATTGCCTACTTCTTTACATAAACATGCCAGACCATCTCACAAACAGAAGTACCATTGATTACAGTGATCACATAAAACTGGTTTTAGTTCTAATGTAAGGCTAGCAGTTGTATCAATCCATCTTAGATTTATTACCTAGTCAGATAGTATACAATAAGAAATATGACAACAAAGGATGCCACAAGCGTAAACATTCTCCGGCTTGATTTCGTCTCAAACACCTTGGGAAAATATGCTCATCATCAGTTATCATAGCCATTAAAGACATTTGGAACATAGTAGAGATACTAGAACAGGTAAAAGTCATATAATCTACATACCATCTTAAACCGATCCATAGTTCCTGAAAGGACTCCCCTCGATGAATCCATATCATTTCCCTAGATGCAAAAAATCCCATGTCATTGTAACGCAAACTGTAAAGCAGAAACTATGTAAGTTTAATATGACTGCTGCATGCATACCATTCTGTCCAGCATGCGATTGTGAGTCTCCACCTCCTCATGTATATCACCTGACAACTACAGAAATGAAGTGCATTACCATTTGTTTATGTCATTCATGACAGCTAAATGCAAGCCATGAACAGAACTCGATTGATTGTTTTTTGGTATATTCTAAATAGTTGTAAAAGCTTTTAATCTACATTTTAAAAATTTTAATTCAATAAAAAATAATCACAAAGATAGCATTTAAGTATATAAATGATCATAAGTAGCTCCTTTTCTCCATAGAAAAAATTTTCAGAATTTTTCATCGTGTTTAACTTAAATTTATCCCATGTAACACTTCTTCTCTGTAAGAAAAACTTCTTCAAATATGCTGAAAATGAGAATGACTAAACAATGAGCATTTAGGAATACAATGATACTTCCAAATTTAGAAATTGGTGAGATGAAATTTCCAATCTTTTGCCTCGTGTTCTCAAAAGGAAGCACGAATTGGTTTCTTTTTATTTTTATTTTTATTTTTTTCGAAATGTCTGTTTCTTCTCCATTGCAATGACATAAGCCTACTTTATTGGTTGAAATAAACTCACTCTCTTCAGAAGATTGACTCGATCTTGCAATCCTTCAACAGCTCTTTCATTATCTTGCTCATCAATTTCATGGGAGTAAGAAGACGAGGCTCTGATGCCACCCTCCTCAATGCCATCAAAGAGAGCGGCTCTATTGGTGCGGACATCTCTGCACACAAAATAAGTAAGAATAATGCAACATATCTAGATAAATTCCACAAACATTATGACTGCATTAAACAAAAATGCACAGCCCCCAATGACATTTACAGCAAAGTAGAACTAAGAGGAAGAATAGTTAATGGGGGAAGTTCACATCCAACAAGTTAGACACATCTATTAATTCCATATACAGTTGTATCATAGAATTATTTAGAGCTTAACAGTAAAGAAGGGCTTTTAACTTTTCCAGGAACCATAAAATTTATAGCATTTTCAAGATTAACAAACCTGATCTAAGAAAATGTTAATATTAAATTTCCTAGTGAAAAAGATCATTTGTTTTCAATCAAATAAGAAATGCAAGGAGAAATGATAGAACAGATAATCAATAACTAGAAGAACAATGTATACCCTTGCTTTGACAGTATGTGTGAAGACTCCAACAGCACGAGTGCCAGAGAAAGCATTTATGAAGACCATTGACAAAATATATTGTGTCACTATATGACCTAGAGTAGCATTCCATGATTCCAAAAAAAGTTCATGGTATAGAGACCATCTAATAAAATTAGTGCCAATGTCATCAACGTTGATCCAGGCTTATTTTTCTTTCATTGGAGAAATGTCTAGAAAAGAATTTCTCAAGTTTCAGCCAACAACTTGAGTCACTAGGCATAGCAATAAACTACTTGTCTAACCATGAATGAAACGAAAGTGCCAAATATCTTTAATGTTGATGCATATTAGAAGGATAAACCAAGACATATAAAGATGGTGAAACTTAACCTTGCACATATAGAATCTGAAATCAAAATGGAAAAGCAAAGAACTCATAGCAACTCCCTAGACTAAGCTTAGCTATTTTCTAAGCTGATAAAGACCTGCCTACTACATGGTTTATGGTGAACTGACAAGAGAAAACCACTTATTTATAAGAACTCAAATCTGACAAAGGCCAATGTGCTTTATAATTAATATAATACGCAATGGATATGGATCTTTGTGGACTGCTAAACTTGAAGTATCTCATGAAGGAACAAGTTATGAAAAACAATAAGGAAGTTATCTCGCAAGCCAGAGCAGATAGTGATAAATAAATGAAGAAAAAGAAATGGGGAAGAATACATGAATAGCACCAATTCAAGTTGTAGTGAACTACCTCAAGAATTATTGACATATATGAATCCAGGACGCAAAGTACCACATCAACATAATAGAAATGTTAGAAAACCCACTCATTCGTCATACATTGTTTGTCTGAGCATACTCTACACTGAATATGCTGAACAAAGCTTATCCTACCCATCTCAATAAATATCAAAACGCAATCTCATCCAGTTTTATGGTATACAAAAGTATTCAGTTGTCATTAGACTCATTGATGCAATCCTATAAAAGTATTGACTTGGGAAACAATAAATCACCACACTGACATATCTAGATTACTTTTCATCTTAAAAACCCACTTGCTTATTCGTAAATTAGTCGATAGAATACCCAATAGCTTACTTTTAATCTTATTCTAGTTTGACTGAAAAAGTATCTGTAAACTTTTGATAAGTCAGGATGAAATTTGTTAATCTGAACATCCCAACATTCATACACAGAGCATCCAATTATTGAGCATTGTCCAGCACAAGAACTTCATAAAGGTGAATTTTGTGTAGGAATATTAAGTACGAGAAGACAGATTTAGATAAAGTTCAAAGTCCAAACAAATAAGCAAAATATACTAAACTGAAATGCAGAGGACTGACATTAATTAACTTAAATATGGATTACAGCTAAAACATACTAAAACATAACTAGTTAGGAACCAAACATATTGAGCAATAACCAATAAACTAATAACAATTAAGCTGAAATTCTACTGTGGGAGAACACAGAGGTACCCAAGTCCGACAAATCACAAAAGTCAAATGCATGATATTATAATCGACAGCAACTGAAAATCCAGAGGGAAAAAATAAAATGACCGGATTGGAAGCAATATTCATTTTTGTCAACAAAACCTCAATCCTTTCACAAAACAATTCATATTAGATCTAACTACGTATATTGTACAGCTGGATCAGATAAGCGACTACTTCAAATGTTCGAGACAAAAGAAGTATAAATATCTAATTAACGAAGGCATTAGACGCAATCATTTTTAATTTTCTTTCTTTTTTAAAGGACCACAATTGGACTAACCTTCGGGGATTCATGGCCGATGAAGATCACGGTATCTGTTGCTTATCTGCTTCTGATCCAATTAGCAAAATCGAAAATCTGCAACATCAAAATTCCGAAACCAAAAAAAAAAAAAAAATTGAACTCATACGATATAGCTCATATATGAATCAAATTAACTTGAATTCCAGCTCAAATTCATAAATAACATAGAGTAAAAATGATCAGTAAATGAGATAATCCAAGTCTAGATCTGAATTGCATATTTTCGTTGAAACGGTAAGTAGGAACGGAGAAAGTGAAGACTGGTAACAGTACCTGAGAGAGATGCTGGTAAATATTTTCCCCCTGTTGAGTGAACAGAGAGTGAATGAGGAAAGAGGAACGTGGAGAAATCGTTGCGAGTATATATACGGAGAGCATATGGAGAGAGAAAGAGATCGGTCCCGCATAATTGCGTAAGATGGGTAAAATGTGCATGTGGGTGAGAAATGAGGTAGTCGCTCGCTAAGCTTTCTGTAGGACCGTTTGGCAGTGATGTCATCGTTTGGTGCCGTTGGATAAGAGTGGATGCCGGATATAGGATAAGCTTAGTTCCAATCTCAGTAGACACGCAATTACTCTATCGCTTCCTTCCACTTGGGTATGATGGTGTATGTTTGGTTTAGGGCTTGTTATCTTTGTTTGGGCCTTCCTTTGCCAATGCATTGCAAGTTCAATGTATCGTGAATTTTATTTGGATTATGGGTCCATTTAGATCACCTATTGGTAACCGGGTTTTGTACATAAACTTTATTCACCAATTCAGAATTCTCATGTTATTATTACTTGATCAACTAAAGTTTAGTCTTTCAAGCACCGGTATTAGGATTATTCCGCCAAATTAATTATTTTAATAATTATTAATTTTAATAATTTTTTTATAAAATATTAAAAATTATACATTACAGAGTTAAAATTTTATAAATATTAGATTATTCAAATATTATAAAATGACCGACTATTTAAAAGTTATTGGTAAATATGTCTTAATCAACTTATCATTTGGAATACAATGAGGAATATGGAGCGAGTTTTCTACTAGTAAGTTGTAACATCCCAAAACCCGAGCCCCCATTGAAACGTTAAATTTGAATCGAATTTTATAAAAAATAATTAATTAAAAATATATGCTTATTTTAAAAAATAAATAAATAAAACAGGTACGAGTGCATCAAATTTTATTTTTAAAGTCTATATTTTCTCGATTTTTAAATAGATTTCGTTTTATATGGTCATAATATTCAACTAGGCATATAAAATTAATAAGTAATTATAATATTAACAATCCTCTCTCTCTAGAATTAAACATTTTAATTATAATTTAGGAAAAACAATTGATTTTTTCTTTTTTTTTTTTTAATCGAGGTCCTATCGGCCGGTACTAAATTTTGCGAACTGCTAGTAGTAAATAAGAAGTTTTAATTAATAAAAAAATAACGAATTCGTGTCTCTCCATTAAAATTCGGCAAGTATAACATATCAGCCTAAGGGAGGAGAATCGGGTTTTGAGGCTTGGTGTGCTGCAGGAACTGTCCAGAGCCGCAACACCATTAACGGCGTCGAGTATGGGTTCATTGACAGCCACCGCCACAACGGAATCGGGATCCAACATGGAGCAATTTCTTTGCGATCGATTACTCGACCCAACCCAGCCCATCTCCGAAAGGTTCAGAGCACTTTTTTCTCTCCGCAACCTTAAAGGCTCCGCTCCTCGTAACGCCCTTATTCAAGGTCAGTTCTTATTGTGTTTTCTTAAACATAATATTTGGTTTAATAGGTACTTTATCAGATTTTTTTCGTTACCTCGGAAGCAAAAAATTAGCAATTTGTGTTTAATATATGCTATCTTTTATAATATGGTGATTGAATTATACTCTTTTACAGCATAGCACAGATTTTCATAGCTTCTAGGGTTTCTAATCCATCCAAAGCCTAAAAATTTCCTTGTAAATAAGCCTGTAATCAGATTCTGCTTTAGTGCTGTGCAGTGAACTCTTGACTGTTTTTGCTTCTTCTTCTTTAACCAAATTATTATGTTATCTATTTTCTTGCTTTTAGCAATAAGAGACTCTTCAAATCTGCTGGCACACGAAGCAGCATTTGCGTTGGGTCAAATGCAAGATTATGAAGCTATCCCTGCCTTAACATCAATTCTAAATGATCTTTCCTTGCATCCTATTGTTCGCCATGAGGTGAGTTTACATTGAATTTTAGTTTCTTTGTTTTGTCTTTGTGTTATGGATATCTGTACTCAGGTGCATAACTTGTTTCTTACATTGCAGGCTGCAGAAGCTCTTGGTGCAATTGGTTTAGAGAGCAGTTTAGCTATTCTGAAGAATAGTTTGGCTCTAGATCCAGCTCAGGAGGTTAAAGAAACTTGTGAACTGGCGCTCAAGCGGATTGAGGAAATGAACGCTAATGGTACTTCTGATGGGTCATCTATGATTGAAAAATCACCCTTTATGTCTGTTGATCCAGCTGCACCTGCTGCTTCTTGCTCTTCTATCGATGAGCTGAGGTACTTGTAATTACAGTTGACGGATGTAAACTTTCTGTAATTGTTATTTGTTGATTCATCTGTTTACTTATGTTATTTAACTTGTAGGGCAGCTCTTTTGGATGAAGAAAAGAGCATGTACGAGCGCTATGCTGCACTTTTTGCACTTAGAAATCAAGGTGGGGATGAAGCAATCACAGCTATAGTTGAATCTTTGGGTGCTAAAAGTGCTTTGCTTAAGCATGAGGTATGTTTCTTGCTGTCTTGGCCTCTTCGTAAGTTTTTATCCATCAGAGTGGATATTATACAAACATGCAATTCTCAAAATTAACTAAATCGTCCAATGAGAACTCTGTTCCAACAGTTAGCTTACTTGATATTCAATTAGAGTGCTTTTAGAATTTGATATTCTTTTTTTAATCATCGAAAGTTTTCTTTTTGTCTCTTAATGTGATTTCTGAACTTTTAATACTTGTCTCTGTGCTCTGTTTCAATTTTCAGGTTGCTTATGTCTTGGGCCAATTGCAGAACAAAGATGCTTCAGCTGCTCTTAGCAGAATACTTAGGGATCAAAACGAGCATCCAATGGTTAGACATGAAGCTGCTGAAGCTCTTGGATCCATTGCTGGTATGTCAGTTATTTTATTTCTATTGTGGATTGTTATTCTTATTGCTAATTATGATTCTTATTGGTCATTGAATGAAATTTACTGCTTTAGAAACAAAACACTTAAATGATTGCAGAATATATCCTTAGATGTGCAAAATAGAGATGCTTATTGTGAAGTAATGACTTGCTCATTGTTGTTGGACTATCATCTGAAGTTTCTGAAACTGTTTGCAGTAATCAAACTGTAGCTTGATGTTGGATAGAGATGAGTAATCTTGTAGACAACTCCTTACCAAATTATTGGGAAATAGTTGCTCTAGGAGAATGCAGAGGGATTGCTTACGATCTTTTGCTAATGTAGTAAAAAGTGGCGCTTTTTTTTTATGTTAATTATGATAACTTTCTATAGTTTTGAGTATTTCTGGAACCTACATGCATTACCTTGGGAATGTATGCATGAATTATTTTAGCCTTTATTCATAGCTTTTGAACCTTGCTTTTTGAAGTTTGATATAATTAGATTTTCACTTTGGTTCCCATTCTAGATGAACAGAGTATTGCACTTCTTGAGGAATTTTCAAAGGATCCAGAGGCTATTGTATCACAAAGCTGTGAAGTTGCTCTGAGCATGCTAGAATACGAAAGATCAGGAAAATCATTTGAGGTAAACATTTGTAAATTAAATCTTCAGATTAGTTACTCTAGGGATTTAGCATATTTTCAAGAGAAATGACTCTATTAACTCTTTCTTTGCAGTACTTATTTATGCAAGATCCTTTAGCGCAATGTTAAATTAACCATAACTCTTCGTGGAACTTCCTTGCCAATGGATGAACAAGCTTCAGTTTGCCTTCTCAACACATTCTTGGGGGAAGTTGGTCTCTGTGGAATAATAAGAGCGCTGGAGGATAACAAAAAAGAACTAGGAGATAATTATACATAAAGAGAACTGATAATTCTCAATCTACATTAATTAATTCTTATAATCTTGTATTCTATTAGTGAACTGTTTTGGCAAAACTACTAAGTTATTTACTTTGGTATGGCAATTTTGCGTTAGCGAGATAATTTGGTGTCGACTGTGTTTGAGTTTTGCGTGGAATCAATTGTTGCCGAAATGCTATGAGCTTGTCCTGTTGACAGCGCCTGGTTTCTGTTGATGGCTGTTGCTTCCAGTGAAAATATTTGTGCGCTAGAATGAGTGGAGACTGAAGAAACTGATTGTTGGGAGGCTGATGCACGTGCACCCTAATTTGATTCCAGAACAAGCCAAGTGAATATGTGCTTGTTGCATAAGTTAAAGGGCAACGCTGACTTTGGGGGTGGGTTGACATTCTTCCCGCCAACTATATTCTATAGCAAACAAACTCTGGATAGAATAATGTCCGGTACTATAAATTATTAGGCAGTGATCCCCCGGCATGCCTGGAGTTTCTGTCGAATGGAAATAAATCTACGCTTTTCCTATGACATTATTTTTTGGTAAAACTAAAAATAATACTAATAAATCTCAGGACATGTAAATTTGTAAATTTATTGTTAACAATAATAAACCTGTAAATAGAAATAAATTTGTAAATTATACTCGTTTAGATTATTTGTTATTTTGTTAACAAAAAGCAAATCGAGCTTGATTTTTTTATGCAATTTGATTAAGTAAATGTTGAATTTCGTATTTTTTAATATTATGTTATAGAATTTTAAATGAATTCCACAAAATATTTTGGAGTTCAATAATTTTCAAAAAAAAAAAAAAAAAAAAAAAGTTCAAATAATTATTCAAAAAAAAAAAAAAAAAAACTTTCAAACAATGTTCACTTTTCTATAAGACTCTCTTAAAAATTGATTGGCAACTCAACGCGAATTGTACACATATTAAACTTTAAAATAAGCTAAAAGTACCGTTAACAGTGTTTTATTCTATGAAGAAGATGTTATTAATGAATAGATAGAACAAAAGATTATGAGGAATACGAAGCTAACTAAAGATTACTTTCAAGATAATCATATCATTTCATGATATTACAAAAAAAAAAAAAAAAAAAAAAAACTTCAAACAAGTTCACTTTTCTTTAGACTTTATTAAAAATTGATTGGCAACTCAACCAATTTAACATAATTAACTTTAAAATAAGTACAAGTACGTTACAGTTTTATTCTATGAAAAATGTTTTATGAATAGAAGAATCAAAAGATTATGAGGAATCACGAAGTACTAAAGATTCTTCAAATATAATCATATCATTTCATGATATTACAATTTGAAAAAACTTATCATATTTTTACTTATACTTTATTTTACTATTTTGATGTTAAGCTGAAGTTAAAGTTTGTGGTAATTGTCTAAATGTGGATGGTTGGTGAGATTTACCTCCCCTTTACTTACCATAAGTGTGTATGTACGTTCAATGTTGATTAATCCCATTTCCCTCCCCTTTTATTGGGCTCAGCCCGATAGTAAAAAGTTAATTAATTAATTAATTAATTAATTAACATGATATTTAATTAAATAAAAAATTGATATTTTTTACTTGAAATTCCACAAACAAATGTTACAAAACCCTTAACACTGAAAGGCCAGTCGGTAATTGCGAAATCCAATATTAAAATCGGAAGCGTCCACAAGACGCCGTCTAAAAGGCTGAGAGATTCAACCAAAATTCCTTCAGGCGATTCTAACCTCTCTCTTTCTGCCAAACACGTTCGTATATAAGTTACAGAGTCTGAGTGTATTTTTACTTCAGAGTGCAGCTAGAGAAAGAACGCAATGGCGACCCCTCCAAAGCCATGGAAGGCGGAATACGCGAAGTCAGCACGATCCTCATGCAAGACCTGCAAGAAACCTATCGATAAAGAGAATCTCAGACTGGGCAAAATGGTCCAAGCCACTCAATTCGACGGTTTCATGCCTGTAACAAAAAAACTCTCTTTCTATACCTTCTCTTCGTTCTTTGTCGCTTACACTCCCTAAATTTGCATATTTGTTTTTTAGTTTCTTGGTTTGTGAATTTGATGTCTGCTAAACTAATTTTAGCAATGAACATAAGCTCACACATATAAATTTTGGTCTAATATGCTTCAGTGGTTGTTTTTTTAAATAAAGACAACTAACTTCTTTGTCTGTGGGTAAGTTGGACTTCAGTTGCTTGTGCATGTTTTGCATATGTGAAGAAATTTTATTTTTTAGTGTCATTATCACCCATGCTAACTATGCGTCAAAATGTCTGTGATTCACTTATGTAGGCTTGAAGCTGGTCTTGTTTTGTCTTTGAGCTTGTTTTGTTTGACTATTTTTGAAGAATTGGGACTTCTAATTTTAAAATGCCATCTATTGTAGCTGAATTGACATCATATTCAACAGAATGATCAAGCCTTTTGAAATTTGTGTATCTTTCTTCCAGAATCTCCTCATAATTGATGTGAAGAAAAAGGAACTACATTTAATATGTATATATTTTTTGATAGATGTGGAACCATGCTAGCTGCATACTGAAGAAAGCAAACCAGATAAAGTCGTAAGTGTTTTTATATTTTATTGTAGTGACAAGATATAATCTAAAGGGATGCAATAACTGACTTGTGACTTTATCATACTATTTAGCATCAATGATGTTGAAGGCATAGAATCGCTCCGGTGGGAAGATCAGCAAAATATTAGAAAATATGTTGAGGCTGGTGTTTCATCAAATGCAAAAGCTGTCACTGCTATGGAGTATGGTATTGAAGTTTCACAAACTTCTCGTGCTACTTGCAAGCTCTGCAGCCAGAAGATTATGAAAGGCCAGGTGAGTATTTTATGTTTCTCTGTATCTTTACTTTTTGGAAGATTATTTTGCAGCTGCATTTTTTGCGCTGTTGAAGTACATTGCCTTCCACTTATTCAATATACTACATTTTGCATTATGATGTCAGTTGGTGGACGAGTAAGGGACCAGTGAGTTTAGATTATTTTCTGATCTTATAAGCATTTTTGTATTTGCAATATGCTGTCAGTTGTTGCTTATTTGGTTTGTATTTGTTTCTACCTTTAGCTCTTACAAGCATGTAACTGAAATGCGTTTATTAATGTCCTGGTTAGTGGTCTGATGTCTTTATAGGCCTTCATGATAAGATGACATGCTTAAATTGTGCCACTTACATTTCCTCTGATAAAAACAAAAATACAATTTAGGTTCGTATTTCTTCAAAGCCTGATGAACCACGGGCTAAGGGATTGGCTTGGCATCATGCAAAATGTTTCATGGATTTGAACCCATCTATCCTAGTGGAGAAGTTGTCTGGATGGGAAAGTCTCCCACCTTCTGATCAGACAACAGTGCATGCGCTGGCTAAGGAGGTTCCTTCTGCTGTAAAAAGTGGTATGATATTGAACCCATCTGTCGATATGTATGTGTGTGTGTGTGTGTGTCTGTTTGTGTGTATGTATGCGCGCACATGTGTAACCTTTGAATTGCTCTTTTTTTCTCATTAGAGCTGTCTTCTCAGGCATCATTGATGGAAGAGAGGATAAAGAACTGCAACAATCAACTTCTAGAGTTGGTGCAAAACGTAGAAAAGATGGCGGTGATCAAAATCCAAAGTTTGCTAGGGTTGATGGAGATGTGTCAACTAGCAAAGTCACATCTGCAAAGAATGATAATGAATTGGAAAGCAAACTGGAGGCTCAATCTAAAGAACTGTGGGCTTTAAAGGATGATCTCAAAAAGAATGTCACAATGGTAGAGTTGCGACAAATGCTTGAAGTTAATGGTCAAGATTCTTCTGGATCAGAACTTGATTTACGGGACCGATGGTAATTTCTTTCTGAAACAATTATAAAATGCATTTTATGTAACTTTCTTTTTCGTGTTTAAAATTTCATGATTGTGACTATCAAGTTTTTCATGAATGAATACTTGATTCACTCTTCCTAAAACGAAAAGAGATAATGTTTTTATCATTTTTCTTGTGTAGTCTACATATTTAAGGCCAGTTGGGTAACACGATGTCACAACAATGATTTCATGTATCTTCTGTCTTGAGCATGAGATCATTAGTGTGATTAAAGCTGTGCATTTGGTTGGTTCAGTTTGAATTTTCACAAAAATTAAAATAACCGAATTTTCTCAAGGGAAAACTGAACAAAACTGAATGACGTAAGAATCTGAACCAAACTAAAGAAAAATGACCAAAGAACCAATTGAAATAATTGAATTAACCGATATTTCGAACATACACACACACATTAAAAAATATATTTTTATATAGAAGTACATATAATTTGATTTGGTTTGTTCAGTTATTTTGGTTCTTTATTACCAAAATCTAAAGCCAAATTGCACCGACCCATTAAAAATATTGAACCGAATTAGCTGAAATTGAATCAGTTCAATTCGGTTCTTGATTCACCGTACCATTTGCTCACCCCTCAGTATGATGACATATAAGTTTGAACATAATCATGCCAATGCAAGATGAAATGCTGCACCTTAAAGATGAGAAAGTGTGGTAGTTAAATTACTTGATCGACATTTTTCTATATTATCAATGAGGTACTGATGGCTTTATAATTATCATAAAACAATAGCATAGGGTGCCCAAATGTTGCCCCTTGCTTCAAATTTTAATGCAATTTTTACTGCTCTTGTTTCTTTTAGTGCTGATGGCATGATGTTTGGAGCACTTGGTCTTTGCCCTATATGTCATGGTTTTCTTCGTTATTCTGGAGGAACATACCGTTGCAATGGATTCTTGTCAGAATGGAGCAAATGTTCATACTCCACTCGTGAACCAGAGCGCCTCAAAGGAAAGTGGAAAGTCCCAGAAGACACGAAAAATGAATATCTTAGCAGGGTATGAAACTGTGATTCATCTCATTTACTTAGATTTTGCAAATTTGAACTTAACTTACTTTGTTTTCTACAGTGGTTTAAATCACAGAAAAGTAAAAAACCTGTTAGGTTACTGCCTCCCCCATCATCTGATAACACATCTGGAAGTCCAACGGCCAATAGTCAATCTTCATCTTTAAAAAGTGAAAATTTGAGGGATCTGAAAGTTTCTATTTCTGGATTACCCAAGGAATCTGTGGTACGACCCGTAGACTGGTTCATCAATAGTGTCATAATTAACTCCGTATTAAGGCATGTTTTATGTGGCCAATTTTGCAGGAAGAATGGAAGAGCAAAATTGAGGGAGTAGGTGGACAGGTTCATGGCAAGATAAAGAAAGGTATTTGCTTTATCAACCAGGTTTTAAAGGAAAAACTATTGTCACCACAAAATTATCATTGCTCCTGAATTCTTTGAGACACTATGTATTAGTCTTTTTGTAAATCAAATTGCAGATACAAATTGCTTTGTGTGTGGAGTACTGGATCGTGAAGATGCTGAGATGAGGAAGGCAAGGTAAATCTGCTTTCATTTGCTGGTCTTTACTATATTTATTCTTTATTGATGTTAGTTTGACTCTTAATGGTTTGGTTGGTAGGAGAATGAAATTGCCAATAGTCAGGGAGGATTACCTGGTTGACTGTTTTAAAAAACAAAAAAGACTTCCTTTTGATCTGTACAAAGTTGAAGCTGTAGGTGGATCCTCTAGCATGGTAACAGTCAAAGTGAAAGGGCAAAGTGCAGTGCATGAAGCTTCTGGTTTGCAAGAAACAGGTCATATTCTTGAGGATGGGAAGAGCATCTATAACACAACTTTGAACATGTCCGACTTATCAACTGGTGTTAACAGGTGAGTCTATAATGTTCTATCTGTCTTGCTGTGACCATTATGCAGACAAGCTGTGGGTTTCCCTCAGTTTTGTACCATCGCTTCATTCATTTTTTATCCATTCAGCATTTGCAGTTGTGCATTGAACAAAACCTTACATTGACCAGGAAGTAGAGGTTCAATTAATGTGCTCTGTCTTTTTCATTTTCTTTTTTAGTTGAGAATGTAATTTAAAGAAGACATTTTAGGTAAATGTGGAGGAAATATGGCATATTAAGACTTATTAAATGCTTCTCTTCATTTGAATTCAAGCACTTGGCATTATATTGAACATTTGTGTCACAAATTCCATTTCTATTAAGGCCATCCGCAAAGTATAGCCTATTAGTGCTGCATCAAGAAGTGGCTTTTATGAAATTGGCACAATTCCTATTAGAAGTTGTCCATCATTTAACATGCAAATAACTTTTTTGCTTGTTTCTATATATTGTGAGAATTAGGGAAAAAGATTTCAATTTTCAAAAGCTAGGAATGAAATGGAAAATTAAAGCCAATAAAGGGTGGGATGGGAATGGTATAAGGTATTGTTTGAAAGGGATTAATGCTATGCTCGGTTTGACTATGAATTGAGTTTTTGATGTGACAATGGACTTAAAAATTGTTGCTTTATGTATGAGAACTCCTACTATTGATACTCTCGTTTCTGTATTCTAACCTTTAACTGCTGGCTATGTAAAGCTACTATATCCTTCAGATAATCCAAGATGACAAAGGGTCAGACTGCCATGTGTTTCGTAAATGGGGTCGAGTAGGGAATGAGAAAATTGGAGGAATCAAACTTGACGAGATGTCAAAATCAGATGCAATCTGTGAATTTAAACGTTTATTCCTTGAGAAGACTGGAAATTCATGGGAAGCATGGGAACAAAAGTCAAACTTTCAGAAGAAACCTGGCAAATTCTTCCCATTGGATATTGTATTATTTTGAGTCTTACATATTATTCATTCTTTGGAATATTTTTGCTTTGATAGAGGGAAATGATTTCTTTAATTTATTCTTAAATATTGGAAATTTTAGGATTATGGAGTTAACAAGCAGCTTACAACCAAAAATAGGAGTAGTGCAGACAGCCAGCTTGCTCCTCCCCTGATGGAATTGATGAAGATGCTCTTTAACGTAGAAGCATACAGGTGTAACTTTCTTCACTTTTTTTCCTTTTCTTTGTTTTTGTGATTATTTTCTGAAAGAATGGATCTTGTGTTCCACAGAGCTGCAATGATGGAATTTGAGATTAATATGTCAGAAATGCCACTTGGAAAATTGAGCAAAAGTAATATTCAAAAGGGTGAGTACCTAGAAAAACACCATTCGCTTTCCTCTACAATGCCAAAATTGTTCATATTTTCTTAAAGTAAATTTATATTGGATGATGCATAGTAATAGCAGGAAATAGGGACTTTGTAATGGTTGCAATTGATCAATGTCCATTATACTTTCCAGGTTTTGAGGCATTGACAGAGATCCAGAATTTATTAAACAACAATACTTATGATCCTTCCATCAAAGAGAGCTTGATGGTTGACGCCAGCAATAGATTTTTCACTGTGATCCCTTCTATTCACCCACACATTATTAGAGATGAAGATGATTTTAAGTCAAAGGTAGATGCTACAACCTATAATTGCATCTTTGATATATTTGATATTCCCTAATAAGCTGCCTTGCCTCTCACTAAATTCAGAATAACATTAACTTGTTGCACAAACAGTTTCTAGAAACCTGTTATTGAGTCTGAATTTGGAACTATGAGAGGGCTCCTTTTATGATGGGTGCATTTGCATGCTAATGGTAGGACAAACTTTTACCCAAAGACAGCTACCTGTTGGGTTGATCTCTTATCTAACCTTCACCTTTTAAGTAGTCTCTCAAGGCTCATGTTCCTAGAGTTGTATTAAATTACAAGAATTTGACAAATTTCATCAATGAATTTTACGTGAAAGACTGAAATTTGGATTCAAAGCTATAAGATGTTGGGCTGTGTTATTGACTCTTTGATTGGAATTGGCGACCAAACTATTACTGTCACTTCTTCATTTGTCTCTTGCAGCATAAAGAATAACATATTTCTCTGTCTTGCTTGCATTGTAGGTGAAAATGTTAGAAGCTCTCCAGGATATTGAGATAGCTTCCAGATTAGTAGGTTTTGATGCTGATACCGATGAGTCCTTTGATGATAAGTATAGGAAGCTCCGATGTGACATAAATCCACTTCCTCATGATAGTGAAGATTACCAGTTGATCGAGAAGTATCTCAATATAACCCATGCTCCCACCCATACGGTGGGTGAACTTCAAATGAGTTCCTCTTCTTCCTTTTCCTCTTCCCACCTTTTTTGACTGGTTAATGGTTCTTGATAATACTCTCAGGATTGGAGTCTTGAACTGGAAGAAGTTTTTTCGTTAGAAAGAGAAGGGGAAATTGATAAGTTTGCTCCCTATAGAAAAAAGCTTAAGAATAGAATGCTACTCTGGCATGGTAAGTTGCAATTCTAACCATGTTTCTTGAAATTTGGTCTAAATCGTGTCAACCCATCCTATCCTTTGTGGTTACAGTGAAACAAAAAATTTTCTACTTTACAGGTTCCCGGTTGACCAACTTTGTGGGAATACTTAGCCAAGGACTAAGAATAGCTCCTCCTGAAGCTCCAGCTACCGGTTATATGGTTCTCTATTTTTCTCTTACATTTGCTTGCATCTCTGCAACATATATTTGATAGCTTGATATATAAGTTGGCCTTTATTTCTGCATGTTTATCATTATTTGGTCTTCTACGACGCTAATGTTTGAATAGTTCTGCATTGCAGTTTGGGAAAGGAATTTACTTTGCCGACCTGGTCAGTAAGAGTGCTCAGTATTGCTTTACGGATAAGAAAAATCCAGTGGGATTAATGCTTCTTAGTGAAGTTGCCTTGGGAGAGGTCTATGAGTTGAAGAATGCCATGGTGAGTAACCATGCCGTTATGCATGTATTGATCTGTCTGTTTGAATGCATGCATGTGTAGTCCTTATGTATGGATATTAAATTGACAATTTTGCAATGTATACTTTTATTCAATCTGCTTGTAATTATTCTTAATTTAGCTTTGCTTAATTGTTGTATTTGTTTAGTACTATACATTTTTTCTCTCTGACACTTTTTATTGTCAAATGTGGCATATGGGAAAAATTGGCTCACCAAGTCCCTACTGTAACTTAAATAATTTTTCAATAATTTTTCTTTCATTATAATTCACTCATAATTGTTGTGAAAGTACATGGATAAACCTCCTCAAGGAAAGCACTCCACAAAAGGTCTTGGCAAGAAAGTACCTCAGGAATCAGAATTTGTGAAGTGGAGGAATGATGTCACTGTTCCTTGTGGTAAACCAGTGCCATCAAAAGTGAAAGCCTCCGAGCTGATGTATAATGAGTACATTGTCTATAGTACTGCTCAGGTAAGTCTTATCTCACTCGTGTTATTACTTATCGCTCTTGCTCATCAAACTAGCTATTTACATGATCATATCTCATTCTATAAGATTTTGTGGAATTTATTTGAAATTTCATGTTTTCATGTTTGTTGCGAATGAAAATATTCACTTTCATAAATTAAATTTTGTGGAATTTGAGGCAACTAAACCGAATTCTATCATTTTTGCAAATATAGACGGAATGAATTGTTGAGATTTATTTATATCAAACAAAGGGTAAATAGGTTGAAATTCTAAAAACTGATGAAATGTTCTAAAATTTGGTCAATGTTTTTACTGATGTTTATTGTGAAATTTAGAGGTAATTTAGGGCACTACGAATTAATTGCAATACTTCTAGGTCAGGTTCTTGATGTTTTTAATATGGTTATGCTATTCAAGCTAGATAAGTTATCAACTTTGTAATGAAGTGGTTTTGCCGGACAGGTTAAGATGCAGTTCTTGTTGAAGGTGAGATTTCATCATAAGAGGTGATTGAGAAAGGTTATTTCATTTTTGTTTACCAATTCGGGAATAGAAATGGCCTGCAATTCTCTATGCAAGTAGATCTCATTTTGAAACCCAATATGTATTCCATAAATGGTTCGTTTCAAGACTAGAAAAGGTCTTATTTTGGGGTTTGCTGGAGATCAAACAACTTGGCTTTGTCTTTTGTAAATAGTATGTTCCTGAGTGTTGGCATGGCCAAAAGTTTGTAGTAATGATAGTTTCAGCTTTAATATTATGCACTCATTGGTTTTATGGGCCCTATCTATTTCTATCAATGGATTTCGCCTCCCTATGTCAGGTGCCATGCCAGCATACTATCTTTTCTTCTGTTTTCTAAGTTAGGTCTCTGGATGCTAAAAATTAAGAAGTGGTTTTTGATGACTGATTTATCAGTTGAAAGAAAATGAGTAAACACATCTTGATTATTAAAAATTTTACACTTGCAAATATGGTGAGGACATGACTACTTTGATGGATGACTCATCATGTTCGTGAGTGCAAAATTCTGTCTATAACGTAAAGAACTTTTGTCTAAAATGTCAGTTAGATTTTGAAAGCATAGCATAGTCCATGTGCTGTGCAAACTGCAAGGATGATGTTACAAAAATTGACTTGAAATGGGAATACGATGATAATGTCATAGCTATTGCTGCGTGTTAGCAGCAAAGAAGATGTGAATAAAAGAATCATATGGAAATGTAGTTTTAGTTGCAAAGAGCCATTTTCCTTTGTTAAGAATGACGATTGGCTCCTCGCTGTTTCTGCTTCTGCTTTACTTTATATGATGTACTCTCTTCTCCTTTTTTCTCTTCTTTATTATATATACATGGATTTATCAGTCTCGTGTTGACACGTGTCAGGGGGGTGGCCAATGCGCAGAGCAGTAGTTACACTAGCAAGCTTAGTGTTTCCCTTCCCCAGACTATAGGTAAGTATCCTGAAAGACTCATGCGGATTGCCACAATAAGCTAATTACACGAGAGGTGGAGCAAATGCCGTTGTAGAGATCTGACTGTTGTTTTTAAATAATACCAGAGTGAAAAGAAACTTGAAGAGAAACCCCAGATGGTCAATCTTGATATATATAGGAGAGATCATGTACCACACATTGAACAACCATTTATAGAGAAGGAGTGATTGAATTGGAGCATGAGACTATCATTTGAATTGCGAGATGAACACGTAATCTAAAGGTCTGATGTAAAACGTATGAAGCTGAGCAAAAAGTAATTCATGACGTTACTACTCTATACTGAGCCTTCTTCTGCTTATGTCAGTTTTTCGATGGACTAATTCATTGCAAGTTCCTATTTCAATTAAGTTCCTTTCTATTTGTGTAAGCCTAGGTGGCAACTGCAAGCGATGAAATAGTCACGGAATAGCTTTATAAAAACCACCACAAAACATCTTGTACAGTGTGAGTAGGTGCACAGGTTGAAGAGAGTGATGAATGAGTTCTTCTAGCTATTGAGAGCATAAGGTCTGTCGCGTTTAGGAAGACACCACGAAAAGAGAGGTCCAACTATAAAAGACATCCCACTAGTGGTTACCAAAAGGTGTACGTTTAATCACTATAGAAAGAGAGACATATTTGATCTACTTATGTTAAATTGAATGAACGAGTTAGGACTCTCCGCTGTTTCTGCTTCCTGCTTTAAAAAGGCGTTGGTATATACTAGAATGTTCTCTTCCCTACTCTGCCTTTCTTTTTCCAGCTCTACTCTCTTGGATACGTAGCTCACTGTTCAGCCATTATCGTGACATATTACTCACATACTGTGATATATCTTTCATTAATAGCACTAATTCTCCAGAACATTTTCCAAAAATAGCCGACTACTCCCAGACCCCTTGAGTTCTCCTCTCTCTCTCCTCTGTTGTTTCCAATCGCCCTTCTGCAAGTGTTGAGCCACTTACCTTTTTCTCTTATATATGATTGGCACTAACTATCAATAATTTAGTGGCCGGACCTACTCAGAGAGATTTTCAACACAGTCGACGGGATCAATATCGAGCATACGGAACATTATCAGTCTATTTGCGATCCTATCAATATTCCTCGATTACGAGACGTTGAAACTTGCATGTTCTCACTATGAAAAATGCATTCCCGATGACTGAAATGGTTCTATATAAATTATTGACCTATATACTAAATAAGGAAGTTCACCTCTATTTGTTTATTCAATGACACAATGCTCACTAGAGCGATAAGCATAATTGATAGGAATGTTAGATTGATCTTTATTAATCTTAATTGGCATATATATATTCATGAACATTTCCAAGCCTCTCTCTCTCTCTCTCTCTCTCTCTGTTGTTTCATGTTCATGTGCATTCCTTTTCTCTTAAATGTTCTACTTTAATTATGCAATAAAGTTATTTCACGTGCGATGATGATCACTTAGGAATCATTATAGATCTATTCTTTTCTCATGTCAAGCACAGTTGAACTTTAGTTCATTGATAATCAAAATTCCCATCTGAATTTTAATTATTTTACTAATTAAATAGATTCACTTTTTTTTATTATAAACATTATCGATGATTGTATGTTGATGACAATAAATTATTGGCCACGTTTTTCTCTCCTTGGATTTAAGGTTGGAAGAAGGAAAATATGAACAATTTTTAATCACCCGTCCAATGTTATCAATCATATAATATTACCCAATTCTTAAAAAACTTGATCAAACACTCTTCTGATCTGATGCTTGGAGAAAATGATGTATGGGCACATTCCATTGTAGCTGTTTGCCACTTCTACCATCTTATTTAGCAATATTTTATTTATTTATTTATTTGTCTCTTTGTGACAACATTTGATTTGTAAGCATTATAAAGTGGCTTCACCACATTAGTACTTTGCTGGCTGCCCCTTCAAGAACTCTTTTTAGGAACTGAAGCATTAATTTATTTTTTGTTAAATTATTCTTATTAATTATTAATTGGGTAGATTAAGGTAAATCTTTTTAATTAAAAGAAAAATCAAATTGATAATTTTTTTAATATATGAGAGGCTTAATGGAGTGCACACGTGGATTATACGATCTTTACATTAAATCCAATAAATTAATAATCAGAACACAATTAGGTAGCTATTTATTATCTTTAATTGAGTTTAAACTTAATTCAGTATAAACGAATTTAATCCAATAAAATATGATAAAAATTAATTCATAATTTGCTTTCAAAATTTAAAATAATTATTATGTCACTAAACTGAAATTAAAATTTGTGTTTTAAAATGTCCGGAACTGGTAGAGTGGTTGCCGGTAGAGGATAACCGGCAGGTGGCAGTGTAGTCTAAGAGAGCCACAAAGCGACAAGCAGCAGCAGTTCCCAGGTGCGGCGTTCGGCGGAAAAAAGAAAAACATAAACCTATAAAATACTAAAAACCCCACAAAAATCAAACTTGGAAGCAAGAAATTTCAAAAGCAAACTAAGCTAATTATTTATAGGAAAATTTTTTACTTAAAATATAAATAAACTCCATATTCAAATTGCATCAACCATTAATAAATGTTCCCTTAGAACCCTACATGAAGACCTTCCATGTCTCCCACTCACTCTCCTTATAACACCCTTTCTTTTCTGTCCCTTAATCCCCACCACTAATACTTACCCTAGTCTTCTTGCACCATTTTCTAGTGTGCTCGTGTGCCTAAATAGTATCTCAAGATTCTCCACTTCTATTTCTTTCTTTCTTAGTTTATATTCTTTCTCTTTCTTTTCTTTTCTTTTCTTTTTTTGGTTTTTATTCCCTACATCTATGGCATCAGCTGGAAATGGAAGTGGAGGAGCTGGCTCTCCTTGCGGAGCCTGCAAGTTCCTCCGGCGAAAATGCGCCTCGAATTGCATTTTCGCGCCTTATTTTTGCTCGGATCAAGGGCCTGCGAGATTTGCTGCAATACATAAGGTTTTTGGTGCAAGTAATGTATCAAAGTTATTGTTACATGTACCAGTCGCTGATCGTTGTGAAGCTGTCGTAACTATTGCTTATGAAGCTCAAGCCCGTATTCGTGACCCTGTTTATGGTTGTGTTGCTCATATTTTCGCCTTGCAACAACAGGTTCTTCTTCTTCTCAATTTTCATACACAATTAACCACTTTCTTTAATTTTCCTCTTCGCACTTTTATCACATATTTACATAGCAAAAAGTTGCGACTGAGCATTTAGTTATTTTATAATTGATAGGTGGCATGCTTGCAAGCGCAATTGATGCAAGTGAAAGCTCAACTGGCACAGAATATGGCGGACACATCACGCAATAACAGTATGGAGAATCAGTGGCAAGGAAACGTTTATGGGATTCCATCATCATGTCCAAATTATAGTAATCATAATAATTATATGAACCCAATCTCTCCACAGAGCTCACTAGAATCCATCGATCAAAACATCAATAATAATGATGGGATCATGAGCATGCAAGATTTTCAAAGCATGAGCAGAGAAGATCAGTTTGCATTCCAATCTTTTGCCAAGAAAAGACCACACAATGCTACTGATTTGGGTGAGCTTCAAGCACTTGCACTTAGGATGATGAGGAACTAATATTTAATAATCATTATTCAAGTGGAAAAAAAAAAGAAAAAAAGAACTTCATTCATCACCTTGTTTCTTTGTGTGCTCAAAATCATGTATATATTGAGACTGTTAAAGAAACTTAAGTTTTGATATATAAGCGTTATTTAATTAGAGGCATTAAATTCCCTTTTTTTTCAATGAAAAAGAACATAATTAATCTCCTTATTACATCTTGGAAATTTTAGGAATTTCTTTCTTTCAGGATTATTATGATGCTTTGAAGCTTAAAATGCTCTAATAATTAAATACAAAAAAAATTTTTTTTTCTTTTTGTGGGAAATTAAGGTTTCTAGGACTAGTTAATTGGTAGGATGGTTAACCTTTTAACAAAGATAATTTAGTTTTTTACTGAATGACAATAATTGGAACAGTTGAACTTGAATTTTTTTTTTATTTCCTTTTTTTTTTTTTTTTTAAACAATTTGGTGTTAATGTTTAATTTATATTATCAGTCTAATGTCTATCAAGTTTAGTGACAGTACACATAGAGACAAATTTGAACCGTCAATTGTCTTTTGTCCAAAATAAAATAGAGAGACCCTATTTATTATATATAGGTTGTTGTAGGTGACAATCTGAAATGTATTTCTTATATATCAATCCCACGAGTTCCTTTTTTTCTGTTTCTTCTTCCTAGTCCTCACTTTCCTTATCAATGTCGTCACTTGATAATAATGCTATTAATTATTCTATTAAAAAACAAATAATGCCAACTTAATCAAGCAAATTAACATTTGAATAAATAAGGAATTGCAAATGCTTAGTTGTTTTGTTTGACAAATATTACTATCATACTCATAATTATAAAATGCTTAGTTGTTTTGTTTGACAAATGTTACTATCATAAACATAATTATGAAATGAGTTAAACTCGTCGAAGAGATGTGAATAAATCGATTTTTAAAATTGATATCATGTTATATATTTTCTTCTCTTCGATGTAAAATTTTGAAGATTTTGATGGAAATTTTAAAATTTAAGTAGAGATTAATATTTTAAATTTGTAATGAAAATTTATAAAAAAATATCAAGTTGCTAATTTTATAACATGTCTTAAGTCCAAAATAAGTAATGGTGGGCATTAGGGAAAAGGTGAAAGGTATGATTGGAGTGAAATGGGAAATGGTAGAATAAAAAAGGACCCACATGCCTGAGAGGTGAGGGCTCTAATAATTAGGTTTACCTAACATAAATAAATATGTTTTTGTAGGTCTAGTAATTATAATTTAATGATTTTTGTATTCATAAAAATAGACAAAATGTTCCCTTAATTGAATGCATTAGCCTACATTAACTTTGACACCTTCTATCAAACCAATTAACCTTATTCTTCTCTTTTTTTTTTTTTTTTTTTTTTTTTACCTTATTCTCTCTTTATTTTTTTTTTTTTTTTTTTTTTTTTTTTTTTTTTGAAAGGGAACCTTAGTCTTCTCTTTCTCCAAATCCTATTTATAAAATCACCTCATTAACCCCATATTTTATAAGTGAAGTTGAGTAAACGTAACCTGGAGAGTTGAGAATGCCAAAACCAGACCCATCTGGCCATTTCTACAAGTTAAATTACAATTTCTACTGCTGTTAATTATAAATTAATAGTTTGATAAGAAAACAACAACTAAGGTTATTCACCAACAGTTTTTTAGATAATTTTTAGTATTTTGATTGGTTAAAACGCTAAAGTTATTTTTCATAATATCTAATAACACAGCGTTTAAAGCTTAACGTAATATTTGCCGAAGATGTAAATGCTAATTTCAATTTGAAATTCACTGTTACAGTTCTTTTATTGTGGTTCTACTAATTTATTTATACCTTACGTAGTTCTAAATCTATTTCTTCTCTTTTCATCATTCTTCACTGTCAATATATCGCACTCGTGCATTAGAGCATACAAAATTCTACATACCATATAATTGATTTTGTCATTAATGATTATAGACTGGACTTAAGTCCAACTCGTGCACATAATGTAGGGCTATCGATGCAAGAAAGACAAAATGAGAAATGCTTTCCAAAAAAAGGGATTATGGGAACCCTAAGAAATTGGCTCAAATAGCCTGTACTTAATAATAGTGATTTGGATCAATATTTTCTTACTCAGCACAATAATTAAGAATTAATTATGTTTAACTAACGAGGAAATGTATTAGTTAAAAAGGAAATTGATTATCCCAAAGAAATGTAATTAGTCAAAACCCATATTGGCTTCGAGCCCCATGGCCATGGCATCCATTTATAGCTATAAAAAAAATTTATATATAGCCTTTCTTATACAGAAAAGAAGTCAAGCAACATTCAACCACACTTTCATACTTCTGCCTTCCCATTTGGACATTAGAAAAGACAAGTAATATTCTATGATTAAGATTTTAATTATTTATTAGTTTACAATAATAATCTTCAATTAGTTCCCACTACTCTTTAAAAAAATGGATTATTCCATTAATTAACAGTAAATAAAGTGATATCAGTTGAATGTGAGTTCAAAAGAGCTGTCCAAAGAAACTGAACTGAAAAACCTAAAAAAAGCAGAAGACATGAAATGAAAGAACTCAATTTTAAATTAAGATAAAGAGTTTATGCTGTCTTCTCTAATCTTCTTTATCATTTCCCATTCTTTCTTCTGAGTGCATGTTCGGTGTATTGTCTGTTTCAAGTTAATTATTTGATTTTTAATTCATTGTTTAAGGACAATAATTCTCAAATTTTAGAGAAAGACAAGAAATAAGCCATTAATGAAAAATCTGTAAGACCACAAACTCCCTTTTTTTAATTATTAATTATAATCCATTTGTTGTACAGTGATTTTCATTCACATGACACCTGTATATTTTGATGATGTTGTAATGTATTAAGTTAAAAAAAAAAAAAAAAAAAAAAATTAAATAAAAAAAAAAAAAAACATAATTAATTAAAATAGAAAACAACAAAAGGTAACGAAAAGGAACTTTTGTCAGGGTAATAACGTATTAGTATTTATTTATCTGTAATAAATAATATATATATTTAATTTCAGTCTTTTAGGGTTTGAATAATCAAACTTTTGACCATAGAATTTCCACGCACGTGCAATCCTAGCCATTAGATTGTGGGGTCAGCTACGTTTTGATGGGATAAGGAAGAATATGACTAGAATTTTAAAAAAAAAAAAAATGGGAATTTTCAATTTATTTGTAAGGAACCTTCATCTATTACTTTGAAATAGACCGATTAAAAATACAAGCGGAAGTATTTAGATTTATTAAACCACAGCAATAATATTAAGTCTTAATTACAATTATTTGAATTCAATTTACAGTTAAAATTGCAATTTCAAAATCTAAGTTATTCAACTTCTTATTATGTTGTAGACAAAATCATGGATATATGGTTTTAATAAGAAAAAAGAAATAACGACATTAAAAAAGAAACTATATTTACAAATGAAAAATCTTAAAAGAAAATAAAGGGAGGGGATTTTGGGCTTCCCTGAAATTGAAAAATTAGATAATTGGGCTCAGTGTTCGAAATATAGAAGCCCAATTATATATTTTTGTAGTAGATAAATCCATAATCAACGGTGTTTATTTATTGGTTAATGAAAAATTTATTAGCCAATAGCCACTTATGAGATAAAATATTTGAATCCACGGCATTGAGGGTTATAAACCTAAACCTTCCTCTGTCATGGGATTTTATTAATGTTGAAGAAATTTTATCACAAACAAATTAAGATTATTTATTAGCGCATGGTTGCTTTTTAGCTCTAACCACGTCAGCAGCTACTTGTAGGGGGTGTAATTCGAACGTACGGAATGAACGTACGGAATGAAATAACTCTCGTCCTAATTCCGTTCCAAAATATTTTGAAATTTGAAATTGCATTTTATTCCATTTTTCAAATATTTTTTGAAATTTAAAATTTTATTCCATACCATTCCATTGAAATTCGGTAGTTTCCAAATTTCTTAATCAGATAAAAATCTAACATATTATGACATTTTTTGAGGTATAAATTTTTAACTTTAACAAGGAACAATCACCATATTTTTATATATAGATACTAAAAAGATATAATTAAATTTTAAAAATAATAAATTAATATCACATATAACTAAAAATCAAAATATTTAGTTTTATATGTTTATAGATAGCAAATATACTTTACCCTTAACATTTAATAATTCAGTTCATATAACTAACAACTTAATAATTAATAATAATTATAATATTATAAAATCAACAAAAGATAATATCATTCATATTAAGATGTATCAATATATGTAGTCACAAAATCTATTAAAAAGTGCTAAATTCACAACAAAAATATACATTATGAGTCTAAGTATACTAAAATATTTCAAATCGTATAATATAATAATATAATTTAGAATCATAATTTTCAACTCAAGAAAGTATATATGAGTATTCAAACACAAAATATATATTAATTACTAGTTAGGGTTAGAGTTAAAATATTCTATTAAACTACATAGTTTAGAATTAAATATAAATTTTCTTAAAAAATATGAAGAATTAAAGATATTTTATATTCAATTACTAGTTAGGTGTAGAGTTTAACATAATTCGTAGTTAAATAACATAGTTAGAATTAATATAAATTTTCTAAAAAAATTAATGAAGAATTTAAATTGATATTTTATTATATTATGCTTTAATTTTTTATTTTAACGGTTAAAATATTCTATTAAACTACATAGTTTAGAATTAAATATAAATTTTCTTAAAAAATATGAAGAATTAAAGATATTTTATTATAATCTTTAATTTTTTATTTTAAAATATATAATTATAAATTAAATAATAATAAAATAACGTATATGGATTGGAATATGAATTTTTATTTTTAGTTTCCATTCCATATTTCATATACCAATATTTTAAAAAATAATTTTTATTTTAAATTTCATATTCTAAAATTTCATTCAAAATTAATATTTGGCTCTATTTGAATTGGAATATTTCGATGTAAGTTACACCCTTAGCTATTTGAGTGCTTCCTTTCTTTGGGCTTGAAAGGTTGTAATTTAGGCCCAAAAACAGACCATGTTGAGTCGAACAATCCAAGTCCATATAAAATTTAGCAGTTAACCTTTGAGTTGAAATTCAAGGTCTACAATCT